GATCATATCAAAAAAGAAATCCAAAAATACCAGACTAATGCTTTCATTCCCAGTTTCATTACTGTTTTCTATCAACAACATAATTGTTTGTTTGATTCAGATTACCTAATCAAGTCAGCATGGAAGAGGGTAGTCTGGTTGAGCCACTCAGTGTTGCGGTTCATGCTTGTAGACGGGCAAACGTGCAGATTGGGCAAAAAGTACTAATACTTGGTGCAGGTAATCCTATAATTGGATTCTTTACCAACCATTTCGACCTTTCGACTAGATACCATCTTGAGATATTCCTCTCAAATCGCTTGTTGGATCGAACCATTGAATAGGTTTTCAGGTCCAATCGGTTTAGTGAATATGATGACAGCCAAAGCGATGGGTGCATCGAAAGTGCTTATGACTGATATTGTCGAGAAACGTTTGGAGTTAGCCAAACAACTTGGTGCTGACTATACGCTGAATGTCAGTGGATTGAAACCTGAAGAAGCGGCCAATAAGATTGTTCAGCTGCTTGGTATGTCGCCTGACTGTGCGATTGAATGCACTGGTGTTACGTCGAGCATTGAAACTTCTATTCATGTATCTTCTTAGAAAATTCAATATGTTCTTATAATTTTTATTTGTTCTTTTAACATTGCACTTCTCATTGCTTTTAAAGTAACATCTTTACAATCATTCCTCATTATTTTGCGTTTAAACACTTCTACTACCGAAAGATGTTGATTATTAATATTTTGTCACCGTATCGTACTGTCGATACTCTGATCGTGCTGTGTCATTCACGATCATCAGTCTAATTATAAGCCGACTGATAGAACAACAATTTTGGAGGAACTGACAATGGGATAGATACGTTTTGTTGATTTCAAGCTTCTAAGAAGTGCAGTGCGATTTAGAATTTTCAAACTGTTGAGATAATGTGGGCACAGATCCGGAATTGGATCATTCTGGCTTATTTGAGGCAGTGAAAAGCAGTGGTACATTGGTGGTGGTTGGAATGGGCAGTGACCGAGTTGACATCCCAATTATTGTGGCTGCTGCGAAGGAACTCGACATTCGTGGAATATTCCGTTATGTTAATTGGTTCGTCCATGGACTTACTCTCTCTTTTTCCTCTCTTAATGTTTACTCATGAGCGATTTCGGAGTTGTATCCCACTGCAGATCAATTGAATTGAATTGATCTGCATTGGGATACAACAGAACTCCAAATTCGTTAGCATGAACAGACCCCATATGGGGTTTAGCTGTTGATAAATTTCACAAGCCTTGTTCCTCTAACAGCATCAATCGTTATGCATCGCAAAACTATGCATCTGCTCTGTCTTAAATGACAAACTTTACGGTTAGAGATTAAGATTAAGGTTAGATTAAGGCTAAGGTTAATCACAAATTTAGATTAAGGTTCGATCTGCTGTTTAGTGTTAGAAGAGAAGAACTCATCATTCGTATATGAAGTCAGTGCTCAAATATTTGCTGTTTGAATTACAGTTATCCAACAGCGATTGAGATGATTGCATCGGGAAAAGTGGATCTAAAGGGATTGACAAAAGCGCACTATAAGTTGGAAGAATCACAGGATGCGTTCAACAGATTCCTCAAAGGCGATGTCATCAAAATATTCATTCAATGTGACGAAACATCGTAAAACTGTCGATCATTCCCTTTCTGTTTTATTCTAAATTTTATTGTGCTTCCGTCCATTGTTACTAATTTT